CCCAAGTGTCACTTGTGGGACAGTTGAGCCAAGGAGCGTTGTTGAGCCGATTCGTAGGATTTTGGAGAAGGTATGATGATTCTCAGAAATTTCCACAGATTGCTCTGTTTTTTTCTATATTTATACTTCTGTCACCGCCTTGTCTTTATCAGAGCAATTTGGACAACTTATTTGTTATTTGGGCTTAATGTAGAGTTGATGGCTTTGCGTATCAAAGCAATATAATACTTGTTTATTCACATTTTTAACAACCTGTTAATACACTGAGAAACAGACTGGTCTGTTTTTCAATGGTTTAATGAATTTCTTGACCTCTAAAAAACTAGCTTAAGTTTCTTACATGCACTAAGTTTTGATTTCGTAGGGAAGCTCAACTAGATGGTTAATTCTGAGCAAAATGCATTAACATTGTTTTCTGGAATTCCCTTGCAGAAAGGTGGAGATATCAAATTCTGGGAAGCAGAATGCTTTAAGATTGATTCATCAAACAAGAAGATCCATTGCCGGTCCAATATAGGGACAAATCTTGATGGAAATGGCGAATTCTTGGTTGACTACGACTATCTTGTGATAGCAGTTGGAGCTAGGTCTAATACATTTAACACTCCAGGTGTTGAGGAGAATTGCTTCTTTTTGAAGGTAAGCTTGCACTATGAAATGAAATGACTTACTTGTACTATGAAATTCATCACTACCCGGTATTGGTGTACGGATATCTGACATAGAATATGACTCATATAAGTGCTCCATTGTGTAATATACACAATTTGCACTTATTTTCAAACGGAAAAGTTTATATTATTTTTTAAAATAAAAAATTCATATACTACATTTTCATTGTTTCTGTGCTATAATCATACATTCTATGTTCATACTGTCATTACTGAATCACAGGAAGTAGAGGATGCCCAAAAGATCCGAAGGAATGTGATGGACTGCTTCGAGAGAGCAAGTCTTCCTTACCTGGATGAAGAAGAGAGGAAGAAGAACCTTCACTTTGTTGTTGTAGGTGGTGGACCTACAGGCGTGGAATTTGCCGCAGAGTTGCACGATTTTGTTACCGAAGATCTATCCAAGCTGTATCCTTCTATTCAGCACCTTGTCAAGATATCACTGATTGAAGCTGCAGATCACATACTGACTATGTAAGGCCATACTGGATTTCTGTTGCATTTGATTCATATGAAGTTATGACTAGTGATTCACCTTTTTCTCATTACCATGATTAGCTATGATGGAAGGATGCGGCAACGCAAGCTTACCCTCCCTTGTAAATTTAACTTTGATTACATGTGCTTCCTATAGGTTTGACAAGAGGATTACTGAATTTGCTGAGGATAAGTTTGGAAGGGATGGCATTGATGTGAAAACTGGATACAAAGTTGTGAAGGTTGCTAAGGATGCAATTACCATGCAAAATCCAGCCACTGGAGATATCGCGGTTCCTTATGGAATGGCTGTTTGGTCCACTGGTATTGGTACCCGGCCCTTCATTTCAGAGTTCATGAAACAAATTGGGCAGGTACCTAGCAAGAAACTCAGCTCGACTCTTTGTAGCTAGCTGAGTTATCCATCTAATTCTCCGTCTACATTTGCAGGGCAAACGGCGTGTACTAGCCACTGATGAATGGCTAAGGGTCCGTGAATGTGATGGTGTTTATGCTGTAGGAGATTGTGCTACGATAAACCAGCGGAGAGTAATGGTAAGTAATGGGACTTGATCTTTGTGTACGTTCTTCTATGAAGATAAGACTTCTTTTCTGTTCATCTTCTTGCATACTTGACATTGTTTTTTAGCTTCCTTGAGACTCCTGTCATCTATCTTTGCTAACTTGGAATGCTCCTGGATTTTATTAAGTGGTAGTGGAAATGGTAGCTCATTTGACTTGTACTAGCATATAATGGAAGCAGTATACCTGCATTGACAAATTACCTTTGAGTGAGGGGGTGTTTCAACTATCCTTTGTTCCTGCAATACAAGCTATAAGTCGATGAATGTAAAAGATTTTGTTTCTGTTATGTCAATATATATGGCTTTATATTCTTGATCTGTAATGCAGGATGATATCTCGGAAATATTCAGAGTAGCAGATAAAGATAACTCTGGAACCTTGACAGTGAAAGAAATCCAAGATGTCTTGGATGATATCTACGTGAGATATCCCCAGGTAGAGCTCTATCTGAAGAGCAGGCAAATGAATGGAATCGCTGATTTAGTAAGGACTGCCAAAGGTGATGCTGAAAAGGAATCTGTAGAACTGAACATTGAAGAATTTAAGAAAGCTCTTTCTCTTGTTGATTCGCAAGTCAAAAATCTGCCTGCAACTGCTCAGGTCGCTTTCTATTCCTCCTTGGAATTTTCACTGGTTTGACAGTTTCAAAGCGAAAATTCATGGAAGTGCATCACTGCCAAGTGTTAACTAGTCTGTTTTTTTTGTCAGGTTGCTTCACAGCAGGGACAATATTTGGCTAGGTGCTTCAATAAGATGAAGGATGCTGAAGAAAACCCTGAAGGCCCCATCCGTATAAGGGGAGAAGGACGCCATCGTTTCCGCCCTTTCAGGTTCCTATTCTCTGCTTATTATGCTGCTAGAAGTATTACCATTTGACATTATCCAGAAACCAGTTGAATGAAACACAATGCCTGTTATAATTACCCAACTAAAAGTGTCATTGAACAGTAAGCTTCCCAAACCCAAAGACAGAAGTATGTAGCAGTAGATTGCGCTCCGCGTTAATCTGTCCATGTCTGCATAATTCTAGAAGTTCCTTTTCACAGGCATCTGATACGATAGCTTTGCTGATTCATCCAGGTACAGGCATTTAGGCCAATTTGCCCCACTAGGAGGTGAGCAGACTGCTGCACAGCTCCCTGGTGATTGGATCTCCATTGGCCACAGCACACAGTGGCTCTGGTATTCTGTCTACGCAACGTAAGTGTTCTCTTCCATTTCAGAGTGACAAAGGTTATGTTGCTATCACTCCTGTGCCCCCATTTTGGTTCATCTATGCTGGTGTCTAATGCTCTTTTTTCTCTGAATTCAGTAAACAAATAAGCTGGCGCACGAGGGCACTGGTGATCTCTGACTGGAGCCGTCGCTTTATCTTCGGTAGGGACTCAAGTTGCATATAGTCAAGAAGGAAAATATTTTGTTGTGACATATTCATCAGAAGCTAAGTGCATCAGTAGTGCCTGCCTCCCACTCGAGTTTGTTTCTGCAAATATATATTCTTTTTGGTTAGGAAAGAATAAAAGTTACCCTTTTTTTTTTCTTACATAGTGCACCACGGAGGAAAAATTCCCTTTGTACCTTTCTTTTGAAGAGTGTTGTACTTTTGCGGCATGAGCAAACCTGCAGATTCTTTAGTAGTTTCTTTACCTTAAAAGATAAGCAAAAGAAAACCACTTTGGACCTGACCTCTTTTTGTTACTGTCAAATCTTGTTTAAATGAGTTCTGTTATCTTTCCATGGCAGCAGCCCAGTGGATTATCTGAAATGTCTCGTTTGGTTTATGTTGAAATGATGGTATATGAACTGCCAATATTCATCATTAAGTGGCAACATGCCAAACAGTTATGCTGGCTGTAGTTGATGCTCATTCTGTTTTTGGAGAACTGTAGTTCTATGATTGAACATGTTTCAGTAGCATGTGCTTGTGGTCTGTACCCCTGTTATGTATGGTTAGTTGGAAAAATTGTTGCCTAATTAAGATGTAGACCAATAGTTTGTCTTTGCAGTTCATAGTTCTTGAATTTAACATGAACAATCTCTGAGTTCAAAACATCTTCCTGGAAAATGCTAATTTAGGTGCAGCCGTTTAGGTCGTTCTCACTATTCATTACCTTATTGATGGGTTTCTGGGCATGCTGAGACATAAAGAACCAATAGTGGGGCAGACAGTTCCCTCAAACTAAGGGCAAGAGGTACAGTTTTTATGGCAAATTCAAGAGATGCATCCAAAGTTAGGGAAGAAGATGCAGGCCTTATATAGTTTGGTGCAACATGTTGAAGAAAATCAGGGAGGATACACTTTACTTACAATTCACATCCCATGTTAAAGAAAAAAAAAACAATGCTGATAATGTCCATCTGCTACATTGTTAATTCGTGCTGCTTATTTTTCATGAGGTAATAATCCAATCTGAAAGCAACTCGACCAAAAGAATAGAAAGGTATACGACCTCTAGCTGAATTTTCAGACATTCCATAATGTAAAATAATACATTGAGCAATCCAAATAGAATCATCACCTGCATCTACTAGGGCCAAATATTTAGTTTTTGAGTTAGGCCAAAGGATTACCACTCTTCACGAAAAAAAAAAGAAGAAATAAAGAAAGAAAGAAAAAGTGAGAAGAAGAAAAGGAAGGGGTGACCGGGTGACATTACATAAAAAATATATATTCTAGAGAATACATCTTTGTCTCAATGACAATGAAAGAATCCTAAATAGAAGATAAGAAGCTGCAAGTTGCACCTTTTCAGCTTTAAAAGTCAAGCATGTCTGATTGCATCTATCTGGCTATGAAATGGAAATAAATTCTTAACAAATCATCAAGTATGAATTCAAAGAAAGCAACAGGTTGTCCAAACCCCAAAGGACTAAACTATTAACTATATTCCATTATTATTCCCCTAATGGTTTAGTTGGTTAGGTATAGGTGTATTTGTACCTAATTCTTCCAGCTCAACAGTTTTATTAGTACAGATCATATGAACAAAGGAACAAGAACAATTATATCAGTACAGGTCACACAGGCAAATAAAAGAACAAAAGAACATGAGAACCAGATGCTGAGCCCAGAATGTTTCATCTCCTCAAAAGACCTGTCAGTACATAACTCACACACAATATTACAAAAAATAAATTCCAAGATGGTACTACCCTTGAATAACTTTTCATAGATGATTCCCTGGATAATTGGCACTAGGCTGGCTAGTTAATATATTATTTAGAAGGAAACTTAGCTACAATATGTGCAACAGAAGCATGTAGATCTAAGAAATAGAGTAACATGATAGGAGAGCTTTCATTTTATCACTTTGAAGAGCACGTTCAGACAACATTACATTCAATATTGATGGGAACATCACCTAAGAAATGTATCGCATCCACACGTCTAAGTCCACAACCCCAAGTACATGATCTAGCATAGAAAATATTATTATCAAGCAGTGACTGGCTATCTACATGTAGACCCAGGAATGAAGTGCAGCATGAAGCTCAAATCCTAATTACACAAAGCCTCACTCTTGTTCCAAGCAGAACCTTTGTAAAAACTGAAAAAACCATGGACAGAAGGATGTGTGGCGACGATAAAACGATATGTTCAAGCAACCAATGGTTTACAGTTCATGGTGCCGTGTCTACGCTGAATCAACCCCTTCAATCTGCTGACGAGCAAGGTATCTCTCTCTTCGCTCCTTCTGAAATAAGGGGAAATAAGGAAATGTTATATGGTCACATGAGACAGCCACTAACACAATAGTAAAAGACCAGACAACTGTCATTAAGAATTCTGTGCCCTGATCTTACCCATTCATCAATTACAAGGCCTTCACCAACAATGCGGGGGCCGGTGTCCTCTGGAGGTTTCTTGCGTGCTTCAAGTGCTGCCTCTGCTTCAGCAAGCTGGCGCTTGAGCTTGTCCATTTGCTGCAGAAAGTGCAAATTTGTGGTAAACTTTCTATTATTCACAACTGTGTTGCATTAAGAGTAAAAGCAATTGCTGAAACTTACTGGGGTTTGACGCTCAGCGTCCAAGAATACAACACGCAGAATTTGCTCAACTGCTACCTGGTTTTTCTGCTCATCAAACTGTAACATAAGGGTAACACTTTAGACCATGCACTGCTAAAATGGACAAAATATGTGGAGGTTCATAACAAACGAACTGTATTATTTTGTGTTACAGGTGAAAAAAAATTGATATTAATATCAAGGTCACTAAAACTTCAGGTAATATGAATGAATTACTAGTGAGGGTGTGGGATGTAATTCTATAAGTCCTTGTCTTTCAAAACTGAGAACGCATTAAGCATCAAAATTAAAACTTTTGAACAAGCTAAAGATTAAAAGAAAACATACCAGTTCTGGGACATACTCCATAGGTCCTTTGACCTTCAGACTGACAATCTTGAACTTAACCTTGCACTTCTGATCTAATGGCTTCTCATTATTCTCAGGATGCTCCACAAACTTGAACACTACCATTACATAAGCAAGGAGTGAGGAAGGCGAAGGAAAAAAAAAACAGGAATGCACATCAAAGGTGAACGTCCACTCTGCATTACCTGTAGCTATGATGCTCTCTCCTGGAGCAAGTATACCACCTGGAGGCCTCATGAAGCAACTCTTCGGTGCTGTTGTTTGGAACTAGAACAAAAGGAATGCATCAAATTAGTGATTTATTAGTAGCTACTGTGTAAGTGGGGACTGAACCAATAGATTTTTATGGTGGAGATCAATACATAGCCATCTGTTAAAAATATGAGCATCTTTAAATTAACAGATGATCCTAAAATATAGCTCACCTTCAATATGAGTTGTTGAGAGTATTGATTAAATCCTAAAATATAGCTCACCTTCAATATGAGTTGTTGAGAGTATTGATTTCATCATTAATCTGAGCTGCACCTTTAAAATTAACAGCAGCTGGACTGCTAGGCTACTACTTACTGAGTTACTGGTAACTACTATCATTTGCAAAACCACTGGTATAGCATCTAGTTTGATGAAGAAGCCATCAGAGAGGAGTTGTGTTAATTTACCTTAAATGCTACATGAGACTTGCTGATGTTCTTGATCTTGACAGCACTCCGGACTTGCTTCCCAGGCTCATCTGTAGCAATCAGTATCAATTCCGGCAAAATCAGACACAAGCAAAGAGTCTGTATCCATCAACCGTGCTGATTCAATCTATTCCGTTTACGAGCAACATACTAATCATAGGCAATTCGTTTCAATTTTTTTTCGAGTTTCGCAGGTTTTTGAAAGAGAAAAAAAAACAAGAAGCCAATTTTCTTAGCGGAAACAGAAGAACAAGTGAGAATTTTATGTCGCCACAAAGCAGAGACTATTCTTAACCACAAATCAGTATGCGAAGAGAAACAAAGACACAGCGCCTCTGACTAAGTCCGAGCCAAGCAAATCAAGAACACAATTGCAGTCGCGCAGCAAAGGAGACTCTCCAATTAATCCAACCAAAACTGTAACAAAGGATTGAAACTAACCAAATCCTTGGACAGAGCAACCGCCATGAAACCAGAGCAAGAAGAAGAAGAAGAAGAACGTACAAGGGAAGAAGAGCTTGGATGGCGGGTCGAGGCGGAGGCGGCGGCGGGTGGGGAGCAGCGACCGGATCACCGCGGCGCCGCCGGACGACGAGCGGGCCGCCCCATCCCCTCCGGCCGCGCTGCCCTCCGCCGCCGCGGACGCCGCGGACGAGCCTGTCCCCCACAGCGGCATGCGGCAGAGCCCCAAGGTACCTGCTGCCCCCTTCTCCTCTGAACACGCTGCTGCTGCTGCTGCGGCGGCGACCGGCGGTGGCTCCCCGGGCAGCAGCAGCGGCGCCCCGTCGTCTGCCTCCCCGCGTCGTATGGTGGGGGCTCGGCTGCGCCGCGCCGGAGACCGACCGGAGTTTGGAGGAGGAGACCGGAGACCGGAAGCAAAGCAAAGTGCGGGCGGCGGTGGAATTGTCAATTCGTCTTCTCTTATTGTGGTGGTGGAGTGAGTGGCCCTGCATGGTGGGCCCCACACCCCCCTCTCCTGCTTGGTGGGGCCCACCACACTCCTTCCCTCGCTAATCTTCATAGGGCCTGTTTAATCGCTACTTGACGGAAGCTCGCTACTTGACGGAAGCTCCTATAGTCTTTTTATTTAGAGGATGAGAATATATAACTGTAGAATCTGAAAAATAAACTAGAAGTCATAAGCTGAGTTTTTCAGCTTCTTTCTCACTAGCTAACTTCTCAGAATTTTAAGCTTCCCGAAAAAACCCTAATACAGGTACTCTTCGTGCCAAAATATAAATGACTTTAGTTGTATGTGATAAATTATAGTACTAACTTTGTCCATTTATAATACTAGGATATATCTCATCTAATTCAAATTATTTATATACTGAGATGAAGGGACTACTTACTCATTTGCGAAACCGTGTGATTATTGTGTGGTTATTACAGTTATATATTACGTGTGGTAATTTTTTAGTTTTGAAACCACAACAAATCTCATGGTTACCGCTTATCATGGGATGAAGGTAAACTCGTCCAAGGTTTGGTTTGATGAATCTGGTAGTAATAAGTTTATTCCTTTGCTGGTTTGTCATGATTGCATTATTAGTGGCTAGTTTAGTAGTAGAACCTCCCGTTGTTTTAGTTAGTTGGATGCTATGGTTGATTGTCCTGATGATTTATACTCCCATCATTCGTCCTATAAGGCTACAACTTATAAACCATCATCAAAATTTACATTTTAAAACTGTATTTTAAAGTTAATTTTATTTTTTCATCAAACTTTATTTCTTACAATTGATTTTCAGAATTTTGGATTGTTAAGGACACAAGCATATATGATTTACTTACAAATTATTATTTTTTTCATTGGTAATAAGGTTTATAATCATCATTAGATGAATGAGGTCATTATCTTTAGTAAACTCTAGGAACAATAACTACTTCTGGGTATAAATTTTGCACATAGAAATTAATTAATGGGAGAATGGATTACTAGCTACCTAGGTAGGGTTGATATGAGCTATAACGATGGCCTAAAACTATGGTCTAACACTAAGCACAAAATTAAAGATGATGGATATGTATGGATTGACTTGGACACGCGCTTTTGCCTTTTACTAATGACTTTTTCAAGGCAGTTGACTCTGTTGACTTAAAAAGGATATCTCAATTAAAAGTAAAATATTCTCAAATATTTTAAGTTAGTGCCTTAGGCAAAGTACTGTCACTTTTAGTGGATATTGGTTGAAATGGTTAAGCAGAGTGCTAGTGTGCTTTACTAATCTTTGGACATCCATCAAGCTCATTATCCATTAATTAACCACCTCTTAAATTAAATGTCACGTACTAATTACAATAATAATATATTTAATTATAATGGTAAGAACATTCACGGCTACTGCTAAAATATTCACGGAGTAGTAAGGTACAGAGTTTCGTAGGATGGAAGAAAGAAAACCCATAAGTTCGAACCAGAACAAAATTTACCATAAGTTCAATACATAATCTAATTGTTGACTGACTACCAACTAACATGGTATAAATCAAGTTAGGATTAGATAATCTAACCAGGTGAACACCACTGAGCTCCGAGGAACATCACTCTCCCTATCAGCTTGTTGCTTATCAACCGTAGCTAACATTTATATTTAATAACTTATTTTAAAATTTAGGTTTTTGTTTGTCTTAGTTTGTTTTTCATTGAGTTTTAAACCGCTAATGATAATATAAGAATACATATTTTTACTACCAATTTTGTTTTGGTTACTTCATCATTATTATAGAGCTTATCAACCGTGGACCAACCAATCAAACACTGGAATTTTCTACAAAGAAGAAAAATCTTAAAAATCTTAAAAGATTCTAAGGAGGAAATATGTAGGGCCTGGCAGTAGAATCCAATAATCAAGATGGAACAAAACGCTGCAGAAGAAGGGGCAGGGTACAGTGGTGGTGTGCTACAAGAGCGCTGGAGAAGTCAATGGCAGAGCTTGCGAGGCACGTCGGATCGACAGGGACAATTTCGCATACATTTCGAGCGAGCTCTTGTCAGCTGCTGCTCAGGTGGTGTTTGGATCGAGGGCAATTAACTTTAGTTCCTATATTTAGATACTAATTTAGAGTATTAAATATAGACTACTTACAAAACTAATTACATAAATGAAAGCTAATTTACGAGACAAATTTTTTAAGCCTAATTAATTCATAATTAGAGAATGTTTACTGTAGCATCACATAGGCTAATCATGTATTAATTAGGCTCAATAGATTCGTCTCGCGAATTAGTTTAAGATTATGGATGGTTTTATTAATAGTCTATGTTTAATATTTATAATTAGTATCCAAACATCCAATGTGATAGGGACTATTCTTTTTCTCTCTTTTGTCTTTGCATTTTCGCATACATATATCATCACTGATCGTCTCTATGCTAAGGTTGCTAGCGACAAGCATGGTGACACTGATCCGGTCAATCACGAGTCACGAGCCGTGTTCTTCTTCCCGGAGCCAAGAAGATGCCTCAGGCCCTCAGCTCTTTTCTCGTTGAGATACATATTTTATCTCGATTTTTCTGTTAGCATGTTTTTTAAATTACTAAACAGTGTGTTTCGTGTGAAAACTTTATATATAAAAGTTACTTTAAAATATCAAATATATTCGTTTGTTAAATTTGTAAGAATTACAACTTAATTAATAATGTGCTAATAGTTTTTTTTACGTAAGTCAATTTAATATTCATCTATATTCATCTTCATCAGTTTTAAACACGGGCGTGGCTGCTTTGGCTGCCTTCTCTACTGGAATGTAGTGAGACAGACATTGATATGGCTTCTCCTCAAATGGAATGTAGAAATGGAGTCTGCTCGTGATAGCTCACAAGTTTTAGGACTCCTAGGGTGTGTTTAGTTTCATGTTAAAATTAGAAGTTTGACTAAAATTCAAAGTTTAAAGAAAAAAATTGAAAGTTTACGTGTGTAGGAAAGTTTCGATGTGATGAAAAAGTTAGAAGTTTGAAGAAAAAGTTGGGAACTAAGGCTGTGTTTAGTTCCACGTCAAAATTGAAAGTTTTAAAAAAAATTGGAAGTTTACGTGTGTAGGAAAGTTTTGATGTGATAAAAAAATTGAAAGTTTAAAGAAAAAGTTAGGAACTAAACCAGGCCTAAACAAGGGCCTACTCAAATTCCTTGCTCTGAATTTTTTTCTGAGCAATAAATTGTACCTTGAAATGGCTTCTCCTGAAGTTATTACAGCAGGTGCAATGGCAGGAATGTCGGAGGGACAGATGAACTCTGCTAATTAAAAATGTTCAGATAAGTCGTCTGCTAACTTCAGATAACAAGGCAATTAAAATGTTCAGCACTCTGCATGGTCCTGTTCGAATTCCATACCTTGGATTTTGTTTTGAGCAGTAAATTCCTACCTTGAAATGGTTTGTCCTTCAATTACAATAGATGTGCCATGGCAAGAATCTCGGAGGAACAGATGAACTCTGCTAATTAAAAATGTTGAGAGAAGCTAAGTCGTCTCCTAACTTCAGATAACAAGGTACTCATGGGATTAAAATGTTTCTGAGGGAAGATTTTCTGTGGTCAATGGTAATGTCCTTGCTTATGACTGAGCTGTTTTAATATATCAAGTAGGAATTGTTCCACGAGGAGGGTTAATTAACTTGGCATTACAAGTAAAACAAATTTCGGCCCAGTCTACGAAGAACGGCACATGCAATTGCAAACATACGAAAATAAGTACTACTAATACTTGAAGATGGTGCAAAAATCATGGAACAGAAAAACATTCAGATTCAGAGGTGCAAACAAAGGATAGTGAGGGCATGAGTCTGCTACGAGTCAATGTCTCTCTCTGTATTATTACTAGTATAATCTCTTTATCTTTCTCTCACTAGCATGAGCAGAATATTGAACAGAGACAAGAAAAAATAGGCATCTGAGGGAGGGAAGAGGCCATTGACCCGGGGAACGCGTTGCCAGACATTCACTCAGATCACCTCATCGAATTTTTCAGCTCCACGAAAGTCTGTCGTTTCATCTCATTGACGGTTGCCAAACATTACCAGTAATTTTCATCAACATCAATGTTTCAATGATGCATCCATATCATCATATTACAATCGGAGTAGTTCTCTCAACTAAGGCCTTGTTAGTTCCAAACTTTTTCTTCAAACTTCCAACTTTTCCATCATATCAAAATTTTTCTACACACATAAACTTCCAACTTTTCCATCACATCGTTTTAATTTCAACCAAACTTCTAGTTTTGGCGTAAACTAAACACACCCTAACTTTCACCGCCGGCATATTAACTAAGTAGTACTACAGTATTTTTTTAGGGTTTGTTTATTGTTTTTGTCACGTGCAGTGCTTGCTCGAAGTTATTATATACTCCCTTCGTTTTCTAATGTATGACACCATAAACTTTTCTATATACGTTTAATCATTCGTTTTATTCAAAAAAAATTATGTAATTATCATTTATTTTATTGGGACTTAATTTATCGTAAAATGTTATATTTATAAAAAGAATTGAATAAGATGAATTATCAAACCTTTCTTAAAAAGTCAATAACATCAAATATTAAAAAATGGAGGTAGTTTATATTTTTTTAAAAAATAGTATTTAATTTTCATAATTAAAATTACCAAAATGTTGAGGTTTCATAAAATTGTCAAAACGGAATTGCTAGAAAACTTTCACAAGTTTTTGTCCTCGAAACTTTTAGATTTGTAGCCATCGGATTGCCTTGAGATTTGTGCATGAAGAGAAAAAATTACTATAAAGAAATTTTCGCACATGTCACGCATAAGATCTTATTGCTAAACAACAAAACCACAGTTGAATACAAGTGCAGTTATAGAGTAGTTACAATGTAATTACAGTTCAGTTATACTATAATTACATCTGAAAGTTTTTCGTAAAAAAACTTCGTGCAATTTTTTTAGATCCAGTCGCACTCCACCCGGATGCAGAGAGCAGAATTTCGTCTGCGATTTGAGTAAAGAAAAAAAATTATCCCAATAGGGCCGGTGTGAACGAGTGCATGATTAAAACCCGGCCCAAGCTGATTAGGCCCAT